GGATTTATTCTGCTAATGTTTTTCTAATTATTACTCCAGGACAGGGGACAGTAGAGGGAAAATAATGGTAAACTCATCACAGGTTTGGAGATACGTTGTAGTACCCTTCTTCACTAAACTACCTGCCAATATTTACTTGTCAGAGTTCTGATGGCTCCACTCTATCCAGGTTTCATAGCTGCATTTACTGTGAGATACGGGGTGGAATATGTCTACTTAGAACAGGATTATGTGTGTATCTATGTATACATGTGTATATATACACGTACTTACATACTACATATATATGTATGCAACCAATATACATATATAAAATACACTTCTATGTAAGTAATATTCAATGGCAATATGACAGCTGATATTAACGTTTGATAAGAGGATTGTAACTTAATGAGATTAGAACCCATACATTCATGCATCAATTGAGCCAATATTAAAGCCTGAATTGTTCTCTTTGTCAAATCTCTAAGTTAATAACTGAGATAATGTTTGAATATTCATGAAAAAATAAATGTCTAGATTCTTAAAAGCAAAAAGGCCTTGAACTTGACAGACATCGGTCTAAATGAATTCATGAAATTCCCCACAGGGCTAAAGTCAATAACTAAAACACCTGCCTCTCTTATCAATAGTCTCAAAGATCTTAGCATTAGAATAAAAAACATTAAAGTGGAGAATTTATTTAATATGCTAAATGTCTCCAACCACTATTTGCCTCACAGAAAACCACAAATAATTTAGGGATCTAGTTATAACCTAGGCCTTCTCTATCTGTTTTGAAAAAACGTGGGCCACAAAAGTTTCTATCATTCAAATATTTATCATTTCTGAATTATAAATTCTGCAGCTTCCCCTATAGATATATTTATTTATTTATTTAGACAAAATCTACTCTGTAGCCCAGGCTGGAGTACAGTGGTGCAACCATGAGCTCACTACAGCCTCAACCTCTCAGGCTCAAGTGATCCTCCCATCTCAGCCTCCCAAGGAGCAAGGTCTACACACGTGGGCCATGTGCCAAGCTAATTTTTGTATTTTTTTTAGAGACATGGTCTCACTATGCCTCCAGGGCTGGTCCCTAACTCCTAGGCTCAAGCAATTCTCCTGCCTCAGCCTCTCAAAGT